TGGTGTAATAAAGAGAGAGGAACAGAGGAGTGAGAGAGGCTAAAAACAGGGAGGTCATTAAGGTGGCTTAGTGTTAAGGAGTTGTGATGCCAGTCCAAAGGTACACAGTTCAGTTGCCAATTGATTCGCAGGAGAAACATGGGCAATCTCCTCCCGTGTGATCAACTGTCTCTGAAAACCTTCTGGAGGGACAGCTATGAACCAATTCCAACTTGATGGTACATAACAACAATAGTGGCTTAGTGGTAAAGAACTGTATCACCAATGCAAAGATATGTGGTTCGGATCCACCAGTTGCTCTGAGGGAGAAATACAGGCAAACTCCTCCCATGTAATTTTCTGCCTCTGAAAACCCACTGAAGGGTCAGCTATGGCTTTGTACCAACCGTACACAAAACAGCAGGAGGCATCTTAAGGAACTCTGGTAGCCTAGTGGGTAAGGAGTTGTGCTGCCAACCCAAAGGCAGGAAGTTTGAATCCACCAGTTGCTTCACAGGAGAAAGATGAGTGCTCTCTTCCTGTGAAATTACAGCCTCTGAAAACCCACTGGAAGGTCAGCTAAGAGTTGGTTCTGACTTGATAGCACATAACAAGTGGGCATCCAGGCTGGTAGAATGAAAAAGCTGATTAGGGACAAAGGAAAAGAAAGCCCGAGAGAAATTGTGGAGCAATTTCTTAACAACATGGGTAGAGAGGAACAGAAAGGATGGAGGAGCGGAAGAGAGCTAGGCAGGGTCATGGCAGAAGAGAGAAGCTGATGCCCTCAGCCGAAAGAGAAAGTTTCTGAGAATGGGAAAAGAGACTATTTCGGGGAATCTTGATGGCTTAGTTGACATTTACTGAGTTAGAGTTGAAGACAGACACCCACCTGGTAGAGACTGACCCTCCACCCTTCCCAACATCTTGTCCTTCTCCAAGGAATAGCACCTAGCAACATGCTCAAAGTATGTGAGGCGAAGCCTCATCATTCCTGCCTCCAAAGAGCACTCTGGCTGCACCCTCTCCAAAACATACCTATTCATTCTGTTGGCCGTCCGTGGGATGCTCAGTGCTCTTCTCTAACACCACAGCTCAAAGGTGTCAATTCTTTTTCTGTTATCCTTATTCACTGTGCAGCTCTTAAATCCACAGCAAGTATTGGAAAGACTAAGGTCTGAATCAGAAACACCTTAGTCCTCAAACTGACATCATTACTCCTCAAAAATTTGGAGAAGTCCCTAACTGCAGATTTTTTTCCAGTGCAATGTGTCTCCCTATTTCCTGACTACTAGTATAGAACTTCAGAAATAACCACCATGCATGCCTGGGACAAAGCTCAGGAGCCAAGGAAGATGATAAAGCAGAAAGGGACAGAGGGCTGGGAAAATGCTAACTACAAACAATTAAACTACATTTTCTACATAAGGAGCCCTGGTGGTACGGTGGTTAACTAAAAGGTTGACAGTTAAAGCCCACTAGCCACTCCATGGGAGAAAGACAGGCAGTCTCCCATCTGTAAAGATTACAGCCTTAGTAATCCCACCATTCTTTCTACCTATTGGCGTGTTCCTGAGCTGACTCAATGGCAAAGGATTTGGTGTTGGGTTTTCCACAATGACTGCAACAGTAAGTTTAAAAGTACAGCAGATTGAGAGGATGGCAGGACCAGACATGGTTTTGTTCTGTTGCTGTGAGGTAGGACTGATTGAATAGCATGTAACAATATGCTAAGCAGCAGGGTCCACGCCTTTTGCAAATATTCACTCTTCTAATCCTCACAGCTAGTATTAACCCCATTGTGAAGATGAGGAGACTTAGGTAGCTACTAAGTGGTAAAAATTCAGGTTGGCATCTAAGTGGTCTGTCTACAAGGTCATGCTATTGCCACTAAGCTTTCTGTCTCTCAGGAATTCCCCTGAAGCCTAGCAGAGAGAAAGCCTGAGACAGCAGTGTGAAGCAGCTGCGTCCTTCCATGAGAGGTCTCGTGACAGTCACAGAAATCGCGAAGTTTCTATGCTTCGCAGCTCTTCTGACCCCTTAATGATGAACTTTTTTGAAGAGCCAGAGACTGGTCTCTCTTTCTAAACCTCCATCCCGAAGGTATTTCATTTGATAGGATGTGCTTCCTGAAATCTAACTGGAGTCACTGCAGCTGCAGTCTCAACCCACCATCTACCCAGGTCTTCTGCCAAGGGAAGAGTTGCAAAAATGGCCCCATGCACCTTTTCTAGCTTTCTGTGGCAAATGTTTTCAGAAGCCTGAAGTCCTAATTCATTTCTCTGGAGCTTTGCTTCTCCACGCCTCACATTCAGTTCCTACTTCTATCCCACATTCCAGAGCCAGTGCCACCCTTCTCCCACCACCTCAATTCCAGGCTCCAGGCTAGCAGACACCCACTGGAGGGTTTTCCCCACAATTCCTTTCTTTTTGCCCTTTCAAGGTCCTGATGGGGGGAGGGGATAAAGAGAGGGTCACCCAGGATACACTCTTCCCATAAATGGTGGCCCCTTGGGTGAAGGAAGAAAATCAGTGGACGTAACCTTGGCAAAAATGGAGAAAACAGGAAAGCTCTCATTCCTGGGAGCCCCCACTGACCGTCCTTCGCTAGGTGCTCAAACACTTGAATTCCAAATCTCGCCTTTTTCTTGAGTCTCTCCACAGTCTCATCTCAGTGGTGTGCTTTGGGTTATCCCATCTATCTGCCCCTTTCCAGGGCCTCACTGTTAGCCTGGACGACTTGGCCCCAACCTGGACAGTAGCACTGACCAGTTAGGCAAGGGAAGAATCTAGGCCGGGAAAGGGCGGGGGAGTGGGAGCAGAGGTTTTTCCTTCCATCCTAAATAACCTTTGGCAGAAAAGCTTAGGTTAGGTTCTAGTGCCCAACACGTCCCACCAGTGTATGCATCTGGCATAAAAAAAAAAAAATCTAAATATTTATGAGGACGAGGAAGTCTCCTTTGAGGAAGTTTGCCTTCCTGTAAGACATCTCCATCAAAAGCCCTAAACCCCGCATCCCACCAATCTCAGGATGGCCCTAGAGGACTCTGAGCCCACCCAGATGCAAGTGTCCCAGCTTCCTGGGTCCCCAGGGAGGATCAGGAAAGGAAGGCTCCTGGGTTTTCTGCCAGTCCCTTTCCTTCAGGTCTAAGCCAATACTCTAAACAAAACTGGGGCTGTAAATGAACAAATGCACAGTGGTGCAGGGGGGGGGGCTGTGGAGCACCACTCAGTGGGGCACCAGGGAGCATGGGGGGGGATGCCTGTGGGCAGACAGCTTAACCTCATAAGACAAATTTCTTTCCAAGGGTCGGGGGCAATGGTGGGATTCTTTGCTAGAGTCGCAGAAGGAATGGGACCAGAACCCTGCCACCACCCTCCCCACACACTCGGTGGAGTCATTGCCATTTGATATCCACTGAGACAAGTTGGCTGCTCAGGCTCCGGGGTGGAGGGTGGGGGGGATGGCTCAGAAAACAGCAGTTCCTTTCAGGACCCAGGTTGGCAAGGGCTTTGGGAGGCTGGACTGGCCCAGATGACACCCCCCCAGCACCCCTTCTCTCCTTCCCTCACCACCACCACCACCACCACCACCACCACCACCAAAGGACTGAGAGAGGAGGGTGGGGAAAAGGGAATTGGCACTGCCGGAGCCATGCCTGTTGCCTCCGCACACTAGCCCTTCCTGGCATGGTGCCTTCACTCCCCCTTTCCCACTGCGTCTTCCTCCCTGAAGAACCATCTCTGAGCCAGGACACCTGGTTCCTTCTAGACTTGGTTCTCCAACTACACTCTGAGGAACTAACAAGCCCAGCCTCTCAGCATGGTGGAATGGAGCCCACCATCATTCCAAGAACATGCTTGGAACTCTTTGGATATTAGGGAGAAGGTTCTAGGAAGAAACAGGAGACTCAGTGGTGGTAGCAGGCCACCTCCTGGGGCTTCTATCTTGATATCCACTCCAGGCCTCCTCAGCACCTCACAAAAAGGCACCACATCACTCATTACCATTCCCTGCCTCTCAGGACTGCCAAAAGCATTCCCATTAAAGGGGAGTGGGAAGATTAAATCATTGTAGAAAAAGCAGACTAGTCAAATCTCTTTAGTCAGAATTTGCACTGATAAATAACATCATCAGACTTTAGGGCCTGGCCTTAAATTTGTGTCCAAATGTGTCATAGTTTCAGCACCCCAGTCCCTGTCTGTCTTGCCCTGCTTGGGATTTTACATCAACATTAATAAAATCTCAAGATATAAAAGGCCCCTCTCCCACTTTAGGTCAGTCCTTTCAGGGTTCCTTCTTCCATATCAGGGAGTTCCAGCTTCCAGCTCTTTCCTAACACAAGCGGTCTAGGTTAGCTCCTGGAGAGGGGAGGCATGGACTGGGGAGGGGGAAATCTCTGTCAGTCTGCCCTTCTAACTGCTGACCTTTTCCTTCTTGGGGGGCCTCAGGGGGAAACAGCTGGAAGAGGAAGATACTGAGAAAGGAGGGTCTTGAAGTAGGAGCCAAGGCAGAACGAGGGTAGGTGTGTGGGTAGGAGTCTCAGGTACACCAGGCTAGTGCGCCCCTCTCCCCCCGCCCCATCAAAGAGATGAGTCTGTGTGTTCCTCCTCTCCTTGAAGTGGTCTGTGGGTGACAGTGTGTGTGACTGTGTGGGGAGGGGAAGGGGCTGGGCACCGGAGTGGGAGTAACCTGATGATCTGGGGAGGAGGGGGCGACGTCTGAGGTCCTGTGTGTGGAGGCTTGGGTGCGTGCGGTGGTCAGACAGCTCTCTGCCCATTCGCAGGGGGCATCAAGAAAGCTCCTGCTTTCGCTTAGAGGGGTGTTATGACCAGCCTGAGTGAAGTTCCCTTAGTGAGGCGCCCTTTGCAGGAGGGTCTGTTTTGGGGCCCCAAGGCCAGAGGTGGGGGAACGGGACCACTGAGTCCGGTAGAGAACAAGACACTGGGGTCCTCCGATGTCTCTGGAATGTGAGGTGGACAGGCATCGTGGCAGCACTCCTTTCTCAGGGCCAGGGTCTTACCTTGGGTCCTGGGTGCAGTGGCCCCTCAGACGGGCCTCGGGTCTGCAGGACCGACGGACGAATGGGCGGGCAGGAGGAAGGAACGGAGCTGTGCGACAGACAGGGGCAGGACTCTTAAACCCAGAGCTGGGATCAGATAAGGGCTGGTCCGGGGGCCGGGGCCGGGGTCGGGCCGGCCGGGGGCAGAGCTGGGCCGGGCCGGGCCGCCCCCTCCCTCCGCGGCGTAGGAGCCAAACTTTGTGTGAATGGAGGGGCCGAGAGGGGGCCGGGAGGCTGGGGGCGGGGGTCTCGGGACCAGCCAATGGAAGCTTGGAGCGCCAGGCCTGGGACGCGGTGATTGGACGGCGGGGCAGGGGGCGGGGCAGGGGCCAAGGGAGCCGAGCCCTAGACGGATCCAGGCGCAGGACCGCGAGCAAACCTCCAAAGACTCAGACCTAGACAGACCTGGGGACAAAGAGGAGTGAGGAGACGATGAGCGACGCGATAGAAGCTGAGCTGGCGAGACAACTGGGGAATGAAAGAAGGAAGAAAAGGCAGGCAGTCGTGCCGGAGTTGGCAAGGAGAGCGGGAGCCGGCGGGGGTGGGACTGGGGCGAGTTAAAGAGGTGCAAATCAGTGCAGGACCTGTGAGGGGGGCTGGGGCGGACTCGGGCTGGCCGCGGGAGGGGGCTACGAACTGCATCCTTCTGCACTTTTGTGGTTCGCCAAATCCTAAATCCCAGGTGGTGTGTTGGGTGCGAAGTGCACATACCACCATTCCCGCCTGCAAAGACTTCGTCTGGAAACCACGATGAGGCCAGGCGGTGCCTGAGGCTGCAGAGATGGAAAACTCATCCTACTCAGAGGGGTCATCGCTGATGTGGGAGGAAGGAGGTGGCCTCTGATAAGGGCCTTGAGCGATGTAGAGAATTCTGGATAGCTGGAAGGTCATTTAAAACTGAGGAAACTGCAGAAACCAATTCACGGAGGACGTGAAAATACTAACCTGCTTTGGAAACAGCGGCAGACTTCCACTAGACCAGAGCAGAAGGTGGTGGATCTCAGTCTTTTCCAAGGACTTCTTTCATTATCTGAATCCATATTCTGAGAGGTTTTTAATCCATGATCTCCTCCCCTTAACAGTTACTACAGAAAAAAAAATTACTTCCTTCATTTTTGTTCATCACTGGCCTCAATAAACGTATTGTCATATTGAACTGATAGAATTTCAAGGGGCAAAACAAAGGGGAAAAATGACATTTTAGCTTAGTTGAACCTGTATAAGTCATATAGGTAAATAAACGTGCATTACAAAAGAACTCTGAATGGAGGCATTGGGAGACCGGCTGAAGGTGAGACATCACCGGCTTAGTGTTTGTTGGAGGAAAGGCGAATTTTGTATGCAAACAATTATAAAATAATAATGATAAAAGACCTACAACAACAAAGAACTGTGCTTGATCACCAACAGCCTTGAGTTCCTGTAAGCAACAGAGCAGTTGAAGGTTCTTGGATAGGAAGAAACAATGGCAGAATTTTTAAAAGACCCATTTGGAGGTAAGATAATTTGAATCAAAGCACAATAATAAGTAAGTAGCCTGGAGAGAAAGTAGTTGCATATTCATGCAATTAAGGCATGAAAACCAGGGCAGAGCAAGTGATTAAAGAGAGCAGGAAAATAAAAAGAAAACAAATAAAAGGGAGGGGATTTGGCAAGGAGAAAGTCACTCATGGCATGGGAATACAGCTTGAGGAGATTGAGCAAAGTGGCAAAGAGAATGCAAAGGGTTACTGTTAGCGAGGAAATAGTAACAAATATAGTTACTCTTTTGATAATTTTATTCAGAAATAATAGTACAACAGCTCAGAACAATGCACGTAGAAACTCAACTCACACACATTGCTTTAAGCAATGGAGATGAAAATGTTGGCAAAGCGCTCTGAGCAAGATATTAAGAGCAAAGATATTATAAATAAGATATCTAAGAGATTCCTAAGGGGAGCCACAGTCTTGACATTTTGAACTAGAGGAGATAGAAACTGTGGGGGAAACTCCTAAATAAACATGAGGACGCCACAGATGAGAAGCCAAAAGAGCTGTGATGACTCATGCATTCATTTGCAGGAATTTATAGCGTACTTTTTAGTTTCAAAAATTGTTACTCAAGCATTTGGTCTCACCCTTTTAGTTTCAAAAAATGTTACTCAAGCATTTGGTGTCACCCATGTGTCAATTTGTCCAGCCCACCTGGATGTTCATTTCAAACTCAACATATTCCAAGTGAAACATGTAATCTTGTTCACAACAGTGTTCCTCTTTATTCTCCACCATAGTGAATACACCACCATCACTTAAACGGAAACATAACTGCCATCGTAGGTTTTTCATACATCTTCATCTCATCTCTCTTATCTAATAGATAAACCTCCTTTTTAAATTACTCTGGTGGCTTAGCGGTAAGGAATTGCACTGCCAGACCAAAGGCACATGGTTTGAATCCAGCAGCTGCTCCATGGAAGAAAGATGGGCATTCTCCTCCTGTGTCATTTATTTGCATGGGAGGAGATTGTCCACTCTTCTACCTCAGAACAGCTGGTGGATCTGAACTGCGTGCTTTTGGGATTGCAGCGCAGCTTCCTGCCACTAGAGAAGATGGAAACTCTGGGGGAAACTCCTAAATAAACATAAGGACTATAACAGCAGTAAAATAACTTAATATTCCTTTGGGAACCATGGTGGCCTAGTCCATAAAGAGTCACACTATTAACCCAAAAGCAACCAAACCTCTCTAGTAGTTCAAATCCACTGGCTGCTCAGCAGAAGACAGACAATCAGAAGGATGGACAATCACCTCCTCTGCAATTTGTAGTCAGTCTGACTCAATGACAATGAGCTTTCAGGTTTTTACTACATTCCTCTGGGTCTCACAGGCACTGCTGTGGTCTTGGACACATTCTCTACCATCACAATAAGTGTGGTGGCATCCTAATTACTTTTTAAACCTATAGTCTTTAATTACTTTTTAAACCTATAGTCACACTAGGAAGGGGGATTGACGATCCACTTCCAAAATAGCAGGCCTCTGGAAACCCTATGTACAGACTCATCCTGGAGAGGGTTAAACAGAGTGACTCCTTGGAGGCAAGGATTCTGAGACTTCGTCTAAAATACTTTGGGCATGTTGTAAGGAGGGACTGGTCCTTGGAGAAGGACATCATGCTTGGGAGGGTAGAGGGACAGCGCAGAGGAAGGGCCTCTATGAGGTGGATTGATTCAGTGACTGGGATCATCGGGATGGGAGTGAGAGACAGTGCGATTGGCACAGGACAGAGCAGAGTTTAGGGCTGTTGTACATAGAGTCGCTATGAGTTGCAAGCGACTCGACAGCACATAACAACAACAACAACAGTTTTTCTCTACTCTGACAATCATTCAGATCATGGAATGCCTTCACTTAAAAATAATTAAGCACCAAAAACATACCATCTCTAGGAAATGTAGGTCTGTGTCACATCCCAGTTTGAAAATTTTTAATGGCTTCTCAGTATCTACAAGTCCAAAATCTTTATCATGGAACAGAATGCTGAGCATGACCTGAACGTGACATCATTCCAGCTTCATCTTCCACTCTCCCATACACACCTAAAGCCACTGCTACTTCCTCTTTCACTGCATTTTTGAGTCTTGACCCTTAAGCCTTCATTTCTTCCATATCTTCAACTATTATCTCAGTGAGAAGCCCATTTTGTTGACCCTAGACTACTTACAGGGTGCCACTTTTATAGTTTCTGTTGCCCACAGGGGTGTTCTACTCCAACATGCTATGCTTAGACTTGAATTCCTTCTTTTCCTCCTCATGACTGGGAGTTCTTATAACTTCCTAGTTTCTGTTTATTTGTTCTTGTTTATTGTCAGTTTGAAGACTAAGGTGCACCTGATTCAGACCATGGTCTTTTCAATCACTTGCTATGCATCTGAGACAGAAGAACCAATGCCTTCGAGCTGTGGTAAACTGACAAAAGAATAAACAGACACATCTTAGAAAAAGTGCAGCCAGAATGCTCCTTGGAAGCAAAGATGACAAAGCTTCATCTCACACTCTTTGAGCAAGTTGCTGGGAGTGGATCTTCCTCAGAGAGGGACATCAATATCATGCTTGAAAAAGGTGAAGGGTTGGTGAAAGACAGGAAGACCCTCAACCAGATGGATTGACACAGTGACTACAGCAATAGGCTCAAATGTGGCAGAGATGATGAGAATGGCACCATAGAGGACAGGCTTCAAATCTGTTGTTCATAGGGTCACTATGAATTGTGCTGGACTCGATGGCACCTAACAACACAAATCCTGGATTAAAGAGGAGTTCTGGTGACCTACCTGTAAGGAGCAGCACTGTCTACCAAAGGCATGTGATCGGAATCTACCAGTTTCTTTGTGGGAGAAAGGTGACAACCTCCTCCTCCTTGATTTGTTGTTGCTGTTGTTGTTAGGTGCTGTCTAGTCGAGTATGATTCATAGTGACTCTATGAACAACAGGTCTGAATCCTGTCCCATCCTCACCATGTCTTGAGCCCACTGCTACAGTCACCATGTCAATCCATCTCATTGTGAGTCTTCCTCTCTTCCGCTGACCCTCTGTCTTTCCAAGCATGATATCTCTTTCCAAGGAATAGCCTCTGAAAATTTGCTGAAAGGCCAGCTATGAGTCAGTTCTGTTAATGTACACAACAACAACATTCGATTAACAGGAAGTTTCAAGGGCCTAAACCACAGGGAATTGCCCTAATAACCAAAGGCCATCCTTCCCTGGTGGTTCAAATCTGTCAATGTCTCCACAGAAAAAAAGGAAAATACCCTGAGAATTACAGCTTCCAAAACCCACTGGAAGCTCAGCTGTGAGTCAGTTCCAACTCCACAGTAATGAGGAAGGCAGTGACTGGATGAAAAATGAAAGTTATCTTTCTTGTTCACCTTTCCACAAATTGTTATTGTTATATCTCAGTCACAAAAGGATAAATATTGCATAGGGTCACTGTTGTAAAATGGGACTGACATCAGGATTGAGGGAAGACAGAAAAGGAAGGGAGGAATGATGTATACTACATTGAAACAGATGAGGGAGAGAACTGTTTAAAAGGGACATATGAATGGGTATTCTTGTCATTA